CAGGAAAATTAATATAAAGGGAGTTATAAAACTCTATGTTGGATATAAGATGATTATCTTGTCAAGTGCAATTAAGAATATAATCTAGATTTGGAGTGTTGCCGATGTAGTTTATTCATTCAAAGGAGGCTTGATGATTATAGGTTAGCGTCCAAGCATTAGAGGCTAGAAGCTCAGAAATGTGAGTAGCTCAAGGAACCTCAAACCATACAAAAATAGAACTACCAAAGTGCTCTTAAAGTGCGACTCCATCAACTCATGGATCAATTAAGAAGGAGAGTTGCCTTTTGATTCATACTTGAAATTTAACGCCTGCTTTAAGCCTGTTGAAGGTTTGAAGAAAATCATATTCTAAAGCACAGAATGAGAGCCCATGCTAAACTGGAGTAAAAAATCATAATAATGAAAGAGCCACTTAGAAATAATAGAGTTACTATTGTAAATTCTTAGATAGACTTAGCTTTACTCATGATAATCAAAGTGTCAAAGTTTGGAAGTCTTAACCCACCACAATATCTAGCTTTTGTTGTTATGTGGAAAGCAATAGGATGCATTTTATTATTTGAGTCTAAAAAAAAAATGGAAATTTATTAATGATTGATGAGATAGACATTTTCAAGCCTTAAAGAAGAGAGGTGGCCCTTAGCAAGTAGTGAATATACCTCCATATATTGTTTCTTATAAATTGAAGCCTCCCAACAAGAAAAGTAATTTCTGCTTTCAACCACAAATATTTTTTTGCATTCTCTCAAGAATGGTAGGACATTTATAGGTTGTGATTCTAGATGGGTGATAGTAATGCAAATATATTTTCAAGGGAAGGGTTTCATTTGATAGCCATTTATTTCACTTAAATATGAACATTCCTAAAGTTGAACAAATATATAGAAGCATATAGATGATTTAGCATGCTTAACTTGAAGATTGGTAGCCTTCTGAAAAGTGAAAAGAGACTTAGATTGCTCCATAATGATTTGAGAGTTGACTTTGCAGAAAACCAATAAATCATCTACATAAATAAGGTGCTTAAATTTAAGGCTAGTAGTATTTGAAGATGCCAACTATAATCTTGCAAGCTTAAAAAAGAGTCCATAATAATAGTAAATATGTATGGAGACAAGGGACATATCTATCTTAAACCAAAAGAGGAGGTTTAGGATAATAAAAAATGAGACTTGATCCATACAGAGTTTAATACAAGAAATGAATAGGTAAGGTGCTTAACTTTAAGGCTAGTAGTATTTGAAAATACCAACTATAATCTTGCAAGCTTAAAAAAGAGTCCATAATAATAGTAAATATGTGTGGAGACAAGGGACATACCTGTCTTAAACAAAAAGAGGAGGTTTAGGATTAAAAAAAATGAGACTTGGTCCATACAGGTTTTAATACAAAAAATGAATAGGAGGTTTAGGAGGAAAACTCATCGAGTTCATTATGTTATAAAGAAAGTTTATGTTAAAAATGTCAAATGCTTTTCTTAAATCAATTTTGGCACAAAACAAATTAGCATTGTTATTAGAGTTGAAACCATGAAAAATATCATTATCTAAGATAATATTATCTGTTTTATCCATGCCATTAACAAAAGCAGCCTGAGAGGAGTGGATACAGGAAGGCAAGACATTCTTGATTCTACCAGCCAGAAGCTTAACAATAGCCTTGTAAATAGTGTTATGGAAAGAAATAGGCCTATAGTCATTAAATTCTCAAGCAAGAAAGGTTTTTGGGATAATTTTCAATGCACTGTGCTTAATTCTACAAGGAAGAATCTCATTAGTAAAGAAAAATGTGATAATAGCAAGGCAAGTGGAGCCAATAATCTCTTGACAATCATTGCAAATTTTGGAGGAGAATCCATCTGGGCATGAGCACTATTAAGAGGCAATGTTGAAGAAAGAATTTTGTTATATCCCCATCTAAAAGTTAGAAATAAGTTCAATATTATATGAAGGGGAGAGGGACTGACTAGTAAGGAAGGTGAATTGTGTGTGTGTGTGTGCAGCTCAAAGTAAAATATAATAGCTTCAAAACCAATACTCCATTGAGTATTAAGGCAAGAGTCGTTGGAATAAATTTCCTTGCTATCTTAGAATTAATTCAACAAAAAAGAAACTTGACACCATCCTCTCCTTATGTGAGCAAAGCATACTTTGCTTGTTGTTTAATCCATTTGAGTACACATTTCAAAGCATTAGAGAGCTATTGTTGAACCTCCAAGGTAGTAGAAATAAGATGCTTATATAATGGGTTACTCTTTATTAGAGTTTGAAGGTGAGATTGTGAGGCTCTTAGTTCAAAGTTTCTTTTGGCAATGTTGCTTGAAGAAGAACATGAGCTTTTTTCGAAGCATATTTAACATTTTTAAGCCTATGAAGACTCGAAGTAGTATTTACCAAAGATTTAAATTTCAAAAAAGAACTCAAGTAGTTTTTATAATGAAATCAACGTTTAGAAGTAATATCAGACCCTAAAGATAAGAGAAAATGTGAGTGGTCTAAAGTAAATGCTTTTAAGACATTATAATCAAAGCATTGAAATAAAGTAAACCAAGTCCGATTCCCAAAAGCTCTATTAAGTTGGTAGTGGATAGGGTTATTCAGTTGTTACTTGAATCAACAATAGGCAAAACTATGATTTGTGAGCTGCATAAACCCAGAGTTAGAGATAAACTTATTAAAATCCACCAAATTGCTGGGAATTGAAGGGATACCTCCCAGCTTATCCTTAATATTAATGATGCAATTGAAATCACCTAGAATACACTACAGTTTAGCAAAAGAGTGGACCATAGAAGTAAGAGCACTCTAAAGTACATTTCTTTTAGTGGCACAATTATCAACATATATAAAGGTGATAATAAATTTTATGGTGGAAGAGATAGAGATTAATCCATGTAAGAATTGTATTTGAATGTTCAATGCATTCAAAGCAACAGTGGAAGAATTCCACTTAGCCTATATACGCTCATTAGAGGATGTTTAAAAATTGTAAACTGATTGTTCTTAAGGGAAGATAATGTAGCGATTTTAAGAACTTAGGTCAAATATAAAAGAAACTTTAAGCTTTTGTTCCAGAAGATAAAAAGGGTCCAACTAATGATTTTTAATGAGATTTATGTTGTCAGTGACTCGATGTCATTATTAAAGTGGCTAACATTCCGAAGAGCTAGTTTGGGGTACATCAACATTAATAAAAGAGGGGCACTGCCCTTAGATTTGCTTTTTTTCTAGAATGAGAGGTAGAAGGAATAGAGGAAGAGGGAGGGAGGATAGAAGAGTCAAGAGAAATATGAGAAATCCATTGCAAATTCCCAATGAGGTAAGAGGAAGAGGGCTGATTTGTTGTGGAAAGAGGAGGGGGAGGGGGCATAAGGGTAACAATACTTCGACATCTGGGAGGTTGGTCATGCCCATTCCTGGAGCAGCTTCAACCTCTGTAAAGAGGGAGAGTGGGAGGTGGTTAATAGTTTGGGAATTTTGGGCAGGGGTAACAATACTTCGACATCTGGGAGGTTGGTCATACCCATTCCTGGAGCAGCTTCAGCCTCTGTAAAGAGGGAGAGTAGGAGGTGGTTAATAGTTTGGGAATTTTGGGCAAGAATCGTTATAATGAGCGAAGGTGTTACAAGCATTGCAAGGTTCACGTTTCCATTCACGCAAGACCAACTTTTGTATATAAGATCTATTCATATAAATTGTGATAGACTCCGAAAGAGTGGATTCAGTATGAATTTGGGCACTAATTTGGGCAAAAGTAAGCAAAGTACCTTATGCAGTGAGAGGATCCATCAATATAAGACCAATTTTGCTCATAATTATGAAAATACCCATTTCAATCCAATAATAACAGGGAAGATTAGGGAGTGTGATCCAGATGGGGATTTCCTTCAAGTCCTCTCTAATAGTTTTAAACCCAGGGTTCCACTTTTTTTGAAAATGACGGGCTTTCCAATGATGAACCAAGGGCCATCATTTAAGACCACAACCATAACAACTAAAGTTAAAAAAAAAACCATTTGAAAGCAAGATAAGATCCACCGATCCCTTAAGCATCCAACATTTAGAAATATGTTGAACCAAAGAACTGTAAAAGGGCACTTACCAAGGGCGTAACCCACGTGAGCCAATCTCCAACATTTAGAGCCTTCCTGAATCTCATCATCCAAAAACATGACTTTTTCTATCTGATTAGGGATGTATGAGAGGTTAAAGATGGAGGTGATTAGTATTTGTGAGGCGATTTAATCCTTCCAGTTCAAAGGGGGAGGAGTGCCAAGGATAGAACCTGAGGAAGTAGAGAGGGGAGTGAAAATGGCAATATCCATTAGAACAAAGGGGCGAGGCCTCTTAATCAAAAAGTATAGAGAGAAAAACCAGTAAAAAGGTTAAGAAAATGGGAGCAAGAGAGAAGAGAGGTGGCAGGGAGGACAAACCCTACCAAAGTGTTTCCTAGAAAACATACCTGAGGGGGTCTGCGTAATTTCTTGTTCAAATTATAAATATGTAATTTATATACTCTTCTTTTTAAGTTCGCGTACCTATATATATGGATATAATTGTGTTAAACATGCATTCATTATGATTTTAAATAAGGTCAAGGGTGCATCAATTATTAATGCTTCCCAAGTTCCGAAGGGTCACCATGGTACACATGCAGTCCTATGGTCAATTCATTTCCTCATAAATATCCAAATAATACTAACAAAACAAATATGTATATTAAACATAGTTTTGCCGAGCTAAAAAATATTTATTACAGATCTTGCATAACATGTGACCCCCTAGGTTCTAGACTATTATCCAAATAAACCTGCCAGTGTAGATAGATTATGGTTGTAGGTTAGTAATATTATAGTTATGTCAACGCTTTTTTACCTGACATATGATGCATAATTTACAAAAAATTAATTTTTTTAATTAATTGAGCATGGTTGAGATATATACTTAACCAATCACAACTCTTATCAGAAAAAAAGTATTAACATTAAAAAACGCTGGCCTACATTAACATTCAGGTCCAGAAAACAATCCAAAGAAAGAAAAGAAAGGCTGCAACAGAACACAATACTCTTACATGCTCATATCTACAAAGCCAAAATGAAAGAGAGACTACACAGCTTCATCAGGTTTCCATTAGTTCATTCCGGTCAAGTTGCATCGCTGAGAAAGTGGTGAAACTTCTTTGATTCCATCATATACCCAAAATTTACGATTCCTCACGATTGGCTCAGAAGGATCATTGATTCCATTCTCTGATGCTCATTAAAAACAAATGGGTGGTGCTCTTCTTTCTGAAAATCAAGCTTTGGCCTCTCCAGCAGTTGTTTCATATCCTCCACTGGAAAGCCATTTCTCTCTTCTTCATCACCAAGAGTTGCTTCTTCTTCGTCTGCTAATCTTTCGTACATATTATCAGCAGAATCAGCTTTCATTGGTCCTTTTCCTGTCAAAATTATATTTTTCTGTGGGTCTTTCAAATTAGAACTCTTATTCTTTTTCTCTAACATTTCATCATCTTGTTGGCTATAATTTTCATAATGAGAATTGCACCTTCCAAAGTAGTCAGACGAGTGCTCAAATTCGTCCTGGTTTTTCTTAGATATTCTATAGTTCATGCTTCCAAAACCTTGAATCCCTCTTGTAAGCTTGCGAGCTCGATCCCTCTCTTCTTTAAGCACTGGACCTTTCTCAAGTAACTTCTGAACCCTCTCTGATTTCTTCCTAACAGCCAATCCCCAATTAAACCTGAAGAAAATTCTGGTTTTAAGATAAAATCATCAATCTGAAACAAAAAATAAAAGCTTTTTATCATCTTACCCTCTCTGATCAATATACTGAAAATCGCCCAATCTTTGAATGACCTCTATATCACACAGAAATTCATCTGCAACGCTCTCTGGTCCATGAGTCAGAAGATGCTCGAGAACTACTAGAGAATTGTATGATTCTCTCCAGTGCTTCAAATCAAACTTAGCCAGCCTGATATAAAATATATAAACCTCTTGAAAAAAAAAAATCCAAAAACTGAATCTTGATCAAAAACGAAGAAAGACACTAACTTCTTATGCAGAATATCCACAATTCTCCAGAAATCATCGATCTCAAAAGCTGATCTCGAGATGAAGCACAACGTCTTTGCATCCGGCGCCCATGGATTCCCATTAGTCGCTTCCTCGGTCAGTCTACAAAAACCCAACATAAATTCAATAGATTCATAGAAACAAAAAGAGAAAAACCTACTTGATGTTGAAGAAAAGACTCACAGTTCAGCCGGAGTGACATCAGTGAGAGCCAAACGAGCGTTCTTGATCTTCTCTCTGAGGAAAAACGTAGCTTGCTTCTTGAACTCATAGAAGAAAGGAGTGCCCATCGCTGTGCTTCTAGGGATCGACATGAGCTTGATCTGAACTGTTACGAGGAGAGGAAGAAGAAGAAGAGCTCAAAGGGCATACGCAGGATGAAGAGAAGGTAGCAGTTTTCTAATTAAAAGGACGAATTTGTTCGAGGAAAGAAGAAAGAGGAAGAGATCGGATGGTGGTTGAGATTGGGAGAAAAGATTTTGTGGACGGCGGAGGTAGGGATGAGGAGATTTGAATTTTAAATCAGAGAATAGCCGTTTCATTAGGCACGTGTCAGGGGATCGTAATGCCGTGTTCTTGTCATGGTTCACAACGATTAATTATTTTAAATAAAATGTATTGTAGGGTTCGGTGAGATGATCGAATCAGTAACAGAACCACTCCACCAAGCGACTTTTTAAAAGAAAATTTTGAAGACAAAAATATTGTGCAGAATTAAATTTATGAGAAATTTATTAACATACTAATCTATTTATATGTATTATGTAATAAACAAATATACTTTAATATTTATATTTATAACACTTTCGAATCTTATATTTAAACATGAAAAGGATGCATCAAGAGAATATGGTATTATTGAAATTTTCTTTTCTCGCATTAATATGAAGCATAAGGAAGTTTTGATTGATTTGTTGAGTACAAAATTATGTGATTTTTTTTCTATGTAATTATCATGTTAAAATAAAAAAAAAATTAAAATATTTAATTTTAACTTTTCTTTCAACATTTCTTATTAATTACCCAAAAGTAAAATATTTAATTTATATTATAAAATGACAATCTATAAGTATGACATTTAAGCCTCGGCCTAAAAATACGATCTTGTTGAGCCGGAAGGATCGACGCCGCCGGAGATGCACCAACAACCACGAACCTACAGAGCTAACCACTTAGGCCGGCTATACGAAGGACTGCATGGTGAGCCAGATCTTACAAAACAAAATAAAATAAAAAACTAAAAAGGAAAATTTATATACATAAGCACCCAAACTTGTTATGCACCACCAAAATGCCGGCCGCCCTTTGGTCGACCACCTCACTCTCCATCTTGTTGCCTACTGAACGGCCGCCTCCCACTCAAATCGCCCACCCACTGGTCGGTAGCATCGCCTCTCCGACCGGTCTCCTTAGCCGACCAACTCTTAATAAACCACAAATTTTCATAAAATATCACCAAAACTTGTGAGCCTCCCTTTGGTCGGCCATCTCATCGGCCGACCGCTAGCCCACCGGTCGGTAGCATCGCCGCTCCGACCGGTCGCCTTAGCCGACCAACTCTTAATAAACCACAAATTTTCATAAAATATCACCAAAACTTGTGAGCCTTCCTTTGGTCGGCCATCTCATTGGTCGACCGCCAGCCCACTGGTCGGCCGTGTCACCGCTTCTGCCGGCAACCATGGTTAACAAATTCTTAAAATATAACAGATTTACATAGTTACCACCCAAACCATGCCACCCACCCTCTGGCTAGCAGGCAATCTCCCCCTCTGGTCTTCTATCCACTTGCCATCCGCCTTGCCGCTCTAGCCGACCACCATGACAGACCAAACTTTTGAAAAAACAAAAAATTACGTATATAACACCCAAATCTTGCGACCTGATGCCGACTTTTATTACAGTACTACTAAATAGGTGTGGTTATCTTCTCAATTTTCTTTATTTATATTTTTTACTTTACAACAACACCAAAAAAATTGACTCCGAAGAAAATAAGAGTGCAACTAATGTATTTAAATATTAGGATACTACGCAAGTAAAAGTATCGTTATCAAGTAATATAAGATTTTTTCATTAAGCCCCGAGAGTACTACAAATTTTTAAGAAGAAATTAGATAACAAATTCTACTTTGAAAAACATTGTTACTCAAACTATAAATGCTATAATAGGAATGAAAGTTCGATTATTCTTGTTAATTTTTTATAATTGAAAATAAACTAAACAACTAACTAAATTTAACTTGATTTTTGTAATATGAAAGCAATATAAATAAAATATATTTTTCCTTATCATGAATCAGTAACAAGTATATAAATTCTGTTGTTGAAGTATTCAAATTGTGTTGTGCCAAATATGAGCAATATTATTTTTTACCATTACTAGATATGCTATAAAGAACATTGACTAATTAAGAGTTTGAATAGTCCTGAAGACGGGCTAGGTAGGGAAGATACTAGCTCTCACTCTAGAGTTCCCTCTTCTCCTTTCACCTAGGGGTTAACATCTCGTATCAAGACCTAAAATAATAAACCGAATTGAGGGTTTTAGCCTGTCACTCTAAATTCCTCTAACTCTATACTATTCAAAGTTTATTTTTCTATTTATTTGCACTAAATCATATGAATTACATTCTCATTCATAGAATCTCATGTGATTCTTACCATTAGTTGACTGAGACAATTCCATCTCAGATCTTTCTCACAACAAATATTAACATCTTAATTGACCAAATCAAGAAGTAAATGAAGTACAAAAATTTTAAATCATCACAACTTGTTCCGGCATTAAAGATCAATAATTCCCACAACTTCCATCCAACACTTAATCACTTTATCATTTTAAGAAAAAAAGATAAAGAAAACTACTAAGAATTCATGGATAAAATACAACAACACTTAAGTTTAAAAGTAGAAATCACATAAAGACATAAAAAGTCTAAATTAGAACAAAATGTAGTCAGAAAGATAAATACTTATCTCAAATTTCTCTCTACTAAACTCTTGAAGTTTCTTTGAATCTCTTCCTTTCTCTTACAATACTCTCTAATAACACAACTACAACTCCTCCCTTTCTAATTAATCTATGATGATAGTGTCAGAAAGGAGTCTCAAAGAGAGGGGGCGGCGTCCTTTTCAATTCAATCCAAATCCTTCTTATATAATTTTCCAAAAGGTGTTTTGGTGTCTCTTAAAAAAATGTGTCCACATTCAATAAATCTTTCAAGACTTGCCTCCTTTTAATAGCCATTTGGATGTATTTTCGTGCCCATTAACCATAATCCACATTTTCACCAAGAGTTGCTTCAAAAAACCTTTCAAAAATTAATCCAAATTCAATGAATTTTCAAATAACTACCTTTGCCGCGTAAGCGCGAGGTATTTGACGCTTAGGCATGACCTTCTCTGTTCTCCTGGCGCTTTGGCGCCACTGTTCATTTGCACAACTTCTTCATTTTTTCCTCCAAATTTGATCCTTTTTCACCCCTTTCATCGATTTGACTGTACTTGAAAGAAAAACATAGAAACACCTTCCAGTAAAATGTAATATCCTAAAAAATAGGTATAAAAATGTGTATATAAATGCTATATATTTTAGGTGTTTCACTACCTCATTGGTTGGCTTGTCACCTCCCCCTTCGGTTGGCTGCCTCGCTGCTCTGGCTGGATGTTAATCAGGTTGTCCACCTCCCAAACCAAAAATTTACGTATGCACCACCAATTCTTATAGATATATACAGACCTAAATGGATGGTATTTATAAGCATATCCCTCAATCCTTCATCTTTACATTTCTAACACATAAACTTTGATATTTTATTCACCATCCTGCCCACGACACAGAGAAATCCCGTAATAAGAAAGAACTCCTAAAGGACTAGTTAGAGCAGGTAAAAGATCGGAGTACCCCTCATGGCCCTTTTTATAAGAAAAGCATAAATGTAATCTTCCCCCTTCTTTTCTCTCTATGAGTGTAATAGGGGCCTCTTTAGGCTCTTTATCTCCTCCTCATGTAGAGAGCTTTTTCTCCTGCTCCCTCACTTGTAGTCCAATTTTGTATGAAATAAAAGTGTCCATCAAGCCCGAGGACAATCTCGAGGCTAATGGTTACTTTTCCAGAAGATTTATTCAATAAAAGTTAGCAAGAAAACTATTAAAAATTTAAGGCTTTTGCTTTCGAGGCTAATGAATTTTTCATTCTTATTGCCTCTTGGGTCTATACTGATCTTATTTATTATTACAGCTGAGCTTATAGTCTGCAGCTAGGGGATAAACAAGCAGAGATGAGGGAACTCATAGAATGTTTGTTTGTGGCTCATTTGAAAACTTGTGTAAATAATTTTGTGAATGTTGTAATGGATTTAAAGTTGAATTTGTTCACCAGCTATAAAAACTTGTATATTTTATTCATGTGAGCTATTTAGCTCACTCTATAATTTTATGTTTAAATATTTCTTACAAAAATAGGAAATTAAAATAGTTCCTGCTTTCACATTTTATGCACTACAAAAGCTTGATTTTCATTATCAATTCTTTATTTAAATAGAATTTCCGATGGAGATTCTTTGAAATATAATAGATGTGGGATTATATATAAAAGACATGAAAAGAAAAGGGATGCCCAATTTTTTTGGGAAAAATCTTGATGGTATTTACATGCATACCACCCAATTATTATTTCTCTAAACCCCTCTCCTCTTCTCCATTCCAACAACATCTTTGTCATCAAATTGACGAGTATAAGTCCCATATTTACCTATTCCATTTCTTAGAGAGTGATAGGAAATTTGTGGACTCTTTCCTCTAGCCTTAAGGCTACCGTGATTTTATTAAACGCAATTCATGGATTGCTGACAAAATGTCTGTAGTAATGGTGTGTCGACTACTTTCATGATCAGGTAGACTTAGGGCCTCCATAACTTGAGATGACGAATCCATAGTTTCTTAACCTAGCTTAGGAATTCCTACCTTTCCCGTTGAAACCTCTTTTGAGCCCTATCATTCTATTGATAGTAGACTACCTTCACCTCCACAAGAAAGCATGTCAAGAAAACACTACACGTGAAAGTTTAAGCCTTCATTGTCTGAATCGAGACTTTAAGAAAATGGAAAGAAGTAGTCACTATTGTTATTAGGTCTTATTTCACATACTTAATTCAAATGCTCAATAAGAAGGCTTGGAATGGAGCGAACCCAAGACCTAGTTATGCCCCTACTGTGGCATAGTTAAGCTATCCAATGTAGCTACAACTGTTTAGGCGTGGCTATGCCATGCAAAGCACAGGAGGGCCTCCATATCCTTATTTGAGTGTTGCAGAATCTATCTCGACAACAATTCTCAGGATGTTTCTTATCTCTCTCTTCAAAGACTAACTCTAGGATCAAGACCTCATTTGAGACATTAGTTTGGAACATCATAATCTTAGCTATCCAAAGGTTTCAAGGAACAAAGAAGAAAACAACAAGAAAAGTGAGATCAGAGGTTTGTGTAAAAAAGCAAGGGATAACATAAGTCAGACAAGCTCAATGAGGTGTTTGCATTTAATTTATAACAATCAATATCACATAAATCAAGAGAGTATGAATCATAAGAGT